GGGTTTTTAGGGTCACGTTACCATATTGATATGTGCAAATAAGTAGGGCAAGTTAATTCAGATGTGAGAGGCCTGGGCATGCCATCAGAAAATGGGTGGAAAAGGCCTCCATGAGGAGAGGAACAGTGGGAAGAGGCTCCCCCGGTGTGCTGTGAGGGCCACTTGGAAAGAGAGGCACACACTCTATCCATGTGGAGTGATAACATGGTAAGATGAGAAATCACAGATCCTGACTACAAACAAAATTGGGAATGTGAAGGTAAAAGAACAAATATGAGGGAAAAAGAGTTGTCGAATTTCCCGATTCCCTGAAGAGAAAATGTAATGTTAAAGAAGGAAAAGTGAAGGAAAAGCCGTAGTGGAGAGTCAGAGAAAACCTCTTGCTGGAGAGGAAAGAATGTACGCTGTGGTCTTTTGCTCACTTGCCTCGTTCACTCACTCACTCTATTCGGGCGACCCAGAACAAAGGTATACCTGCTGTATACTCAGCATGTCCCCAGGTGCTTCTTTTTGGGAGGAAGTGACAGCGCAGTCTGCATTTGTGTCGGAGGCATCTAATTGGCAGGCATCATAAACCCACAGTAACTGGAGAGTTCATGGACAGCAAGCTGTGTAGGAGTTCAGAGAACCCTGTGTCATCTGGGCTGAGGAGCCATAGAAAGAGGAAGGATGAGAGTCAGGGGAAGGTAAGCTTCTGATACACTTACAATTTGCCTAAGGTGTTTGTGTGTGTGGAGTTCACATAGGCTGAATGCTCAGTAAAGCACCTGTCTGTCAATGGCCCTAGGAAAAGGGTCTCTTGTTAGCATCCTTCAGTGATGTCTGAAGGGAGAGTCACTTGGGTTTTGCCTTGCGACTTTCGACCATCCTGGTGTATAGATAGTTTTGTTAAACGTAGCTTCACCAAACGAAAGAATTGTCAGACTTTGCCAAAAGGCCTGCTAATTTTAAGGTAATGACTGTAATGCTAGCAGGAGGCCAGAAGCCTTTAGGATGCCTAGAGCTCAGAACTTTGAGGAACATTAGTAGCTCCCGGTGTTTGACTTCAGCCGCCAAGATGGTTACATATGTTTTGTTTGTCAGACCCTTTGTCAACATTAGGTTATGGTGTTGAGGAAAAAAAAAAAGTCAATATGCCTAGAACTGTGCATTGTTCAATTCAATAAACACCTAAAGAATTGAACCGAGGCCAAATAGAAGAGCCTCCAGGTGCCTTTTCCTCTCCAAAGGACTTTTTCTGGGCCTGGTAATGGAATAGTTGAGCTGACATCATGCCAAGTTTTAACTGTTGGCCATATATTTTCTAGATAAATGACATTAGCTACCCTTTTGGATTTCAAAGAGGGAAAAGGATCTTGAATTTGGGATTAGGCCCCGAGGACCTTCTTAAGTAGTGCTGACAAGTCTCCGGATGGGTTAAGGATAGTCTTGATATTAGGAACTAAGCAGTCTAGTCCCACAAGTGTACACACACACTACCAAATCTTATGAGACCATTTGGTAACAATATATTTTGTTATGTTTCTAAGATGTCTTCTTGGGTGGCCAAGATTAACCATCAGCTGTAGGCTGGGATTAGGTGATAAAAACTCCATGGCTTTCATATTAAAATAGAAATTGAAGTCAAAACAGGATCTATTTTCTTAGAGCCTATTCCCTTCCCCTGTCCCGTACTTACATATTTTCTGTGCAATCATGGTTACTAGTCCTATTTGCATCATTTCTTACAGGCCAGTGAGATTTGGAGGCCTATGCCTATATATTCTGTATTTTGGCATGTGTAGTTCCTGGAGCTTATGTTAGATTTGGATCGTCTTACAAATAAGGCCACGATCTCTGGGTCTGCAAGGCTCTTTTCAGAATCTTGGAGAAAAAGGAGCAATTCTGATAATGAAGATTACCCAGCTCCCTTCCCTACCCACCTGCATATCCCAGCTAGTGACCAAATGATTTGCAAGTGAGCTATGAAGAGAACTGCACCGTCAGAGGTTTTAAAGTATATATAAGGGTATTTTGCAAGAGCAGCATAACAGAAACAAGTTCAAAAGGACAGAGGGAAAATGCTCCAAATCTGTGGCAAACGGGATTTCACTAAAATTTACAGGATTCCTTGGATATGTCTTTGATTCATGTACCGATTTCCCAACACTTTGAAACTATTTCAAGTGGTGTTTAAAGAAACAAAAACTTTTCTCTGTAATAAAAAGTAAATTATTCTACTTTTTTATAGAAGAACTGAAAAATGACTATTGCTTAAGTTTGTTTTTTTAAGCTGAGTCTTTTTTTGAATTAGGGGGGATGGTTATAAGAAACTACATCTTCTCTCCACCCCGCCTCCCCACTGCCCCCATTTTCCCTGCAAATGAAAAACACACTTTGTGATTTAGCAAAAGGAAGTTAAGGATGAGTCTTTGGGGAGGGAAAGTAGTGGAACTGGTTATCATGTTAATCTTCTGTTATAGGAGTTGGGCTCAGAGCCAGATTTGCTGCTTATAGCAAATGGACAGAACTTGAATGGTTAAAAAAAATCCTCCGGTCCTCAGATCTGGTGCTTGTAGGCCAGCTTGATATGTTTTTCAGGATCCTTCTCCTTCACACATACTAAATAGCTAAAACGACTGGAGATAAAAGTCAGGTTATTAGATACGAAACTGTCTCCTCTTTATTCCCCTTTACTCCGTGTCTCTGTGCATTTAATCACGACAATAAACCACGTCAGAATTGCACTTCTCTGTCAGTTTCTTTGGGCAGTGCTCTCCTCTTGGTCTCTGCCTCAATTTTCGTATCTGTTATTGGGAACAATAAAAGGCCAACTCAAGGGGGCATTAAGAGTGCAGTATGATAGTTTTAGTGTGGCATGGAAATAAGGATGGGAAGTTAATTGGTGGGAAAGGTGCTTTTCATTTTCTGTTTGATTCTAGGTTTAGCTGTTGGTTTGAGTGTCTTTGAAATTCCTCTTCTCATCAGATCTCTGTTTCTTCGTTGGCATTGATTTGCCTTGAGTACAATAATTGAGCTTAGTGATGATAGTGTAAGTAAGTATACATTATTTGATGGTTGAATTATCCTAAGATGAAGGGAATGATAAAAATAAGGATGATTTGGGGATACAAGGAGAGGGTATTGCATCTACTTTTTCTCGACCAGGAGTATTTAGCAGTAAGCAAAACTGACAAACCTATGGGGCTCATAGTCCTGTGTGGGAAGATAGGCAACGAGTATATAAAATATGTGTGTATGTCAGTGGTGAGAGATGTTCTGAGGAAAACTAGAGCACCGGGCATGAATGGAGGCTGGTAGTGGTGAGGTACTGGCTGGTGAGGGAAATTCTCTTTTATAAGGTAACATTTGGACAGGATCGTTGAGAGTGTGAGGGAAAAGGGCCTGGGGAGATCTGAAGGGAGAACAATCCAAGTGGAGAGAACAGCAAATGCAAAAGCCCTCAGGTGGGAATATGCTTTATTTGTTTAAGGATTAGCGAAGACGCCAGCGGCTAGATCAGAGTGAATAAGCTGCAAAGTCACAGAAGATGAGCTTGGGGAAGCACAGGGGGTCAGGCAACAGCAGTGACACAAAGACTTCTGGCTTTTATTCTGAGTGAGATGGGAAGCCACTGGAGGGTTCTGAGCAGAGGACTGACACAACTTGCATTCCTTTTTCAAAGCATCACTCTGACTACTGTGTTGAGAAATGGCTGGAGGGGAACAAGGACAAAAGCAGTGAGACTCATTAAGGAGGAAACTACACCAGAATTCAGACCAGATGTGAGAGTGACTTGGGTCAGGGTGGTAGTGATAGAGTTGGTGAGAAGTGGTTAGATCCTGGGTATAGTTTGAAATACAGGATCCACCAGATTTACTGATGGATTGAAATGCAATGTGAGAGAAAGAGAGGTTTCAGGGATGACTCCATGTTTTGTGTTGGACAACAGTGAGATTGAGGTTGTTATTTTCTTTCCTTTTTTTTTTTTTTTTTTAAAGATTTTATTTATTTATTTGACAGATGGAGATCACAGAGAAGCAGGCAGAGAGAGGAGGAAGCAGGCTCCCTGCTCAGCAGAGAGCCAGCTGATGCTCAGGGCTAGATCCCAAGACCCTGGGATCATGACCTGAGCCGAAGGCAGAGGTTTAACCCACTGAGCCACCCAGGTGCCCCAAGGTTGTTCTTTTCTGAGATACAGAGGACTACAAAGGAGCAAGTTTGGGTGGAAGGAAACCAAGAGTTTGGTTTTAGGCATGTGAAGTTTGAGATGCCTAGTAAACATCCAAGTGGAGATGTCAAAATGGTAGTTAGGTATTTGAATCTGGAGTACAGGATAATTGTCTCTGTACTGATTGAATTGGGAATTGTCGTTGTATTGATAGTATTTAAAGCTGTGGGACTGAATGAGATCACACAGGGCCTAGGCCATAAATTCTTAACCTGGGCTATACATTAGAATCACCATGGGTGCTTAAAACATGTAAGGATGACTGGGCCCCATCCTAGATCGACTAGATCATAACTCTGGGGTTTTTGAAAGCTCTCCAAGCCATTCTACCATAAACAAGAGTTGAAAATTACTGATCTACCGAGTGAGTGTAGATGGAGAAAGGAAGCGTCCTGCTTCCTGCTCCCCTACAGTGTTTAGAGATCAGGAAGTTGAGATGAACCAGCAAAGGAGACTGAGTGGGAACTGACAGCGAGGGAGGGCGAGTGTTGTGTCCTGCAAGTCAAACGAAGAAACTGTTTCAAGAAGGAGAAAGTGATCCGCTATGGAAAATGCTGCTGGGAGACTAAGATAAGGAATGAGAAGGGATCACTGGGTTAGGTAATGTGGAGGTCACTGCTGAACTGACAGAGGCATTTTGATGTGGTGGGAGTGAAGCCTGATTCTGTGGATTCAGAGAGAATGCAAGGAGTAGAACTGGAAACAGTGAACAGGGGTACAGAGAAATGAGGTGGAAGCTGGAGGGGGACTGAAGGTCAACGGAGAGTTTTTAAAGGTGAGAGTAAGGGGCACCTGGCTGGCTCATTTGGAAGGGCTTGCGACTCTTGATCGCAGGGTCATGAGTTCGAGCCTCATGTTGGGTGTAAAGATGACTTAAGTAAATAAAAAAAACTTAAAAAAAAAAAGATGAGAAATAGTACATGTTTGAATGTGATGGTAAGAGGGAGAAAACTGATGATGCAGGAAAAAGGCGACAATTACAAGAGTGAAGTCTTTGATCAGTACTTAGGAGTTGAGATCCAGGGCACAAGCGAAAGGGTTGGTCTTAGGGTCAGTTATGGTACAAAGAAGGCAGAGTATGTGTATACAAATGTGGCTAAACTGGTGGATTTGGTAGTGGGAATGTGCCAAAGTCCATTTTATTTTCAGTGTTGGAACTTTTATACTTGGAGGTTTGGAACATACTGGATTAATAATTTATTTAAGTCTTGACATATGGTTGCTTGTAACCTTCGGAAGAATACAAATAGCATGTCAGAGAAACACAAAGGAAGAAGGTGCTATATTAATTTAACTATCCTGTGGGTATTTAAAATCATCTTTTAAAAGAATATCATTAAATGGAAAATGTTTTTAGCATATTTAGCATGTTTTTAGCAGATGAAAAAAGCACATTTCCAAGGTATGAATAGTGTGCTCGAAATTTAAAAAAAAGTTGTGTGTTTACATGTAAAAAAAGATGGCAAAATCTTATCAGTTGCCTCTAGATGGTGGAAATAAACATAACTTTTGTTCTTTTTTGTACTTTTCAATATAGTATTAAATTTATATAATAATTATGCATTTAGAAAAAGATTATATAAAGTAAAATGTATTAAAAAGTACAAAAATATAACTTTTTTTTCCCATTTCAGAGTTGTTGTTCACAGTAAAAATATAAAACTATAGAATCTGACTCCATGGATTGGATTAAGATTTATGATGAACTCGTGCTTAGAGGAAATACACTCATAGGTTCAGGTTTGGCTTATTCATGGAAAATATTTGATGACTAAATTAGTACCCAGCCCAGTTACAAGGAATTGTAACCAAATCTACTACAGATTAATTTTGGATTGTAATTGGGGATTGAAATGAAAACAACAACAACAACTTTTTTCAGGGGACCTGAGTGGCTCAGTCAGTTAAGCATCTGCCTTCTGCTCAGGTCATGATTCTGGGGTCTTGGGAATCGAGCCCCGCATCGGGCTCCCTGGTCAGTAGAGAGCTGCTTCTCTATCTCTCCCCCCATGCTTTGCCTCTCAAATAAATAAAATCTTAAAAAAATTTGTTTGTTAATATACAATGTTCAATGTATTTGTTACCTTTGCCAACCAAGGGTGTGATTTTACTTCCTCCTCCTCCTATGGCTTTGAAATTTTTCTGAGATTCTTTCTTCTGTCCTCATTTTAGTACAGATTGCAGCACTGCTTTTAGACTAACTAGGTGACCAAAAATAAGAGACTGAACCTCTTAATTTCATAATCATTTTAGTAAAATGGAGCTAGCACTCTTGAACTCACCTCCCAAGGTTATGTCGTGAAGCAAGGGTAAGTGTATCCATCATTATCCCTGGCTGGTTGGTTCGCTGTAACCAGCTATTGGTGGCCTGATGCTTGTAAGCAATGAACAGTTCTGCCCAGAATATGGACTCATTGATTCTACAAAGAATGTACAAGAATGTGCCATAGAGATGAGGAGTCATAGAGGACTCTGTGGCCAGAGAGGCTTCTGGAGCCCTGACTGGAGAAAAATTACTTACTGGAAATAGGACATGACCGTTTGGTTGTCACAGGATAAAGACAGAAGGAAGAATAATGGTGACTTCCAGTAAAATGAATTATGCTTTCCCTCGCCCCTTCTGTAGAATCCGAAAGGGTTACAGATCTGGTGCTACAACTTGAGAAGTTTCAGGTAAACAGGCACTAGTTATGGTATGGTGAATAGATTCTTTACAGATGGCACCTGTAATAAATCCAAGGTTGAGGGTCTCCAGACAGACTGTTGCCATTAGGGAGGCAGCATTTTATGGATGACATCAAACAAGATAGCAGGGCAACTCTCAATCCTGAATCAAGAATTAGCATGCAAGTCCATGAAAGAGACAAGTTCTACTTTGGGTTTTTCTCATGGAGATAACTTAGAAAATAAGTGCAACTTTAATGCTGGATACCTAGGTACTATATAACACATTCTGTCACATACATGTATATATTATATCCTATTTTCTTACAGAAGAATATAGGATTTTTATAGAATTCTGTAAGTTTAGGGGCTTGAGCAAAAGTGTAGAGTCTTGGAGATGTTTCTGTCCCAGGATAACTATTACTTGGTGAATTAAAAGGCACTGGAGCACTGAGCTCTGTACTTGTTGGAGTTATCAAAGCTGATTGCGGTGTATTGCTGCCAGCTGACCGCTCCACACCAGCAGGTGCCAGGCACGGAGAGCACTGCTCCCTCAGACATTGACCCCGTGTTAGGGAATATGCTGACGCATTATGTTTACTCCAGGAACGAACAGGGAGGCTAATGCCCTACTTCTCGAGGAGCAGCCCACGTACCATAAAGGTTTTATAGCTGTTCAAGATAGACTTCAGGTTCATTCTTTCCAGATTCATTCACAGGGAGGGAGAGAAAAAGGGAGGGGATGGTAACAGTAGAGCTATGTTTAACTCAACAGATTCCAATGTCTCAGTGGTCAAGATGATCAAACCCCCCACCTCCCCACCCTGTTGGCTCCACAAACAGAAAACGTCAAGGTGGGCACCCTGCCAGATGTTCCAGCCAGCAGCTGAACTGAAACAGACCTGCCCTGGGAAGTGCGAGAGAGAAATAGAGCCAAGGAAACCTAAGAAGGAAAAGTGGCAAACTATCCCAATAGCTTTGCTACTGACCCACGGTAGTGTTCGTGAGGGTGAAAATTAGAATATATCTCAAATGCTGTTACTATTACTATTACTATAGGTCTGCTGACTAAAATTTATTACGTGCCATATACCAGGTTAAGCATTTGCATGCACTTTCTCATCTGTTCTCCTCCTCAGATTAGAGGAGGTTCTATTGAGCTTGGTTCTATTATTATCTCAATTTTATAGAAGAGGAAACTAAGGTTGAATAATTTAGTGGAAGAGTCATAGTTTGAAGGTAGGTTTGTTAGATGTGATTAAAACTTGAGGCATGGGGTACAGAAATCAAGGAAAAATGTGCACATTGAGGTTGTTTTAAGTTGTAAGTTCTCAGGATGGAGAAAAGTCAATCTTTTGGCTACTATGAGCTTTATGAAAGTGGTTTCATTTTTTTTTTCTATGCAGTAGATATTAATTTCTTTGTTTTAACATAGAGTCAGGAGTATCTGAACTCAAGGCCTTCCTGTTTCCATAGCACCTTACAGGAAGGAAAAGGAAGTGGAAAGAAAGGAATGTCCATTTTCACTGAAAATGGTGGGATGATGCATGACACAAAGGGGCCAGATTCATGGATAGTTCAAATCTCATTTGAAGCAATAGTTTCAACTCCCACTCATGATTAGTTATGGAAAATTACTGCCTGATTTGAAGTTCATTTTCTTTGAAGCTATAAATGAACAATAAAATTTTTAAAAATACACAGAAGGGAAAGAATGCAGAGCCTCGTTTGACTTCTACAATTTGTTTTATAGTTTACAAAGAACTTTCTTAAACTTCACAATGGTTCTGCTAGTCCAGTCTAGCAGATTTCCCAGTCTCCATTTTTTTTTTTTTACAATGAGGATGCCAACAATAATCCGTAAATATTTATTATATTGGGATTATAATAGCCACTACCGTTTAAGCATCAGGGACTACGCAGACAGAAATTATCTTCACAACACAGTGGAGTGAATGGTCTCTTTTGACCAGCAAGGAAATTGAGCTTCAGAATGGTTCAGTAGCTTGCCCAAGGGCTCAAAGCTAATAAGTGAAAAAGCCAAGGCTTATCAAGCTTGGCTAGCATTCTTTCTTCTACATCATGCCAGTTTTCCTCTCAAGGATCAAAGTAAGAAAGCTGAATAATCAGCCTCTGGATAGTTGAAAGTTGGCTGGAAAATGTGTTGTGTTTACAGATTATGGTGATCTTTTTACCTGCTATGACACATATTGAAACATAGGCAGAGGAAAAATGACTTAATCGTGTTAGTTCTTTCAACAAATTCTTATTTGAATATTACATTTTTTCCCCAATTTTCAGTTCTTTGGTCCTAGTGAGTGGTTGCAGACATATTTCTGTGACAAAAGATGAAGTAAATATGGCAAATTTGAAAAGAGGGGGATAAAAGAAGAAGGAGAAATAAAATACAGTAGAGCAAAGCAAAGGAACAAGGGGATAAGTAACAAAGAGACTAAAGTAATTACCATTTGTACTTTGCACAGGGTAAAAACCGGGGCACAGAGAGATGGAAGAACTTATTCCATGCATGAGATACAGATAAGAGTTCTCTTGGGCCCTTTCCTTCCTGAATTGCCCTAAACCAGCTTCAAAACAAGATTCTAAGTTTCCAGCATTTAAATGTGCACTTAAGGATAAGATTTATATACTCCAGTTAACTTCTATTGTCCTTGTCCCTCTCCGGTGGCATACATTTTAATCACCTGTCTACCCTGCTATCCCTGAAATCCTTTCCCAAATTCCCTATAGCTGGAAATAACTGCTCTGTGTAGGCTCAGTGTTATTCCAGATGCTTGGAACAGGATTTTGATAGGACAAATGAAAGGGCTCCTCAATCTATGGGTCCACATTGCCTTGTAGCTTGTTCTTCTAGAGTTTACTGTCATTTCTGGATATTTAATCAAGACCCTCCCTATTCCTCAGTTCCCCTAATTGGCCATTGTTAAACTGTGAGTGACCTCTCAAAAATAACACCAAAACAAAGCTGAGTTTAATATTGTTGTAGTAAGGGAGAACATTACTTTGAGAGAGTCTTAGTAGCATCTCAGAGTGGGGAGGGCAAGTTATGGTATTTATGAGATTTTGAGTCTAGTTTAATGCAGGTCTTTCAATCTCATGGTTTGATTGGAGTTGAGTAAAGATCACGATATAATAGTGTAAAAGTGGAAAATGTAGTAAGGCAAGAATTTTGAAGCTGAGG